AATGAGTGGAGTAGTGATGTACGACCAAAAACGTCCTAAATAAGCCCTCGGACATCACATTTACCCTTTTTAATAAGTATTCTGTGTAATACTGATTTGCTAAAACTCAATCTACTCAGCTTTTTACTTCATAAGACTTTATGTGAGAAGGTGGCAAGCGAGCTGGTGGTTCAACTGATGTTAAAAGATAACCGCCGCCCATGGACACTTGGACCTTTAAGTAAAGTGGACCTCGACTACCTCACTCACTAGACGAAACGCACAAGGTCTTCTGTGATGTCATGATACTAGGACGGATAGTAACATCGACAAAAAGCCGCAGGCCAATCCATAAGCCACAGGGTAAGGTGTTCTGAACGTGGCGATATGCATCCCAGTTGAGAGGGATAAGCAACAGGGTAAGGTGTTCTGAACGTGGCGATATGCATCCCAGTTGAGAGGGATAAGCCACAGGGTAAGGTGCTTTGAACGTGGCGATATTCATCCCAGTTGAGAGGGATAAGCCACAGGGTAAGGTGTTCTGAAAGTGGCGATATGCATCACAGTTGAGAGGGATAAGCCACAGGGTAAGGTGTTTTAAGCGTGGCGATAGGCATCCCTGTTGAGAGGGATAAGCCACAGGGTAACGTGTTCTGAACGTGGCGATATGTATCCCAGTTGAGAGGATAAGCCACAAGGTAAGGTATTAATTGTATGAAGATCACTTGCACCAGACTATAACGCCATTCGAGGACGAAGGCGTGATGCAGGACGGCTGAGTGTTATTGTTGGCAACACTGTATACCGGATATGACGTTAACTTCTCGAGCGAATGTCTCCATGGTCGCATAGTGCAGCGGTCACTTGCTTTTCGGCTGCGTTCCCGGACGGTGACATAACCGCTAGTGCTGCCTGTCGTTATAATAGTTATTAATATTCAAATTCAGAAATAGTGAAAATACTAAAATCAAAGTAATAACGTTAGAGCTCTTATAAATCTATCGCGATAACGAAATGTTATTCCTCCACCAAGAAGGTATACTGCGCATTGTTTAATAAGCTGTTAGAGTTAAGAACATAAATCGTGGACCCTATTTAGTGATGTACTATTTCTGTCGGATAATTTATCGATGCCGCCCGGTGGCGGATGATTGTGCGGATAATTGCAACGTGCGAACTGTATTACAATGATTACCATTTATTTTATTAAAATACAGTACAGGTTTCATATATAATTTTTATAAATAATTACACAATATAACCAAAGTAGAATGCAGAAATTAGTTTAAAACATTCTATCATCATAACACGATAACGCCCGTGAAATTATCTCTAAGGATGAATACGCGGCTATCTGTTACTAAAACCGCTCATTTCGTCTCTAATCTCCGATCTACCTACTTATTACAGCAGATTCAAATTGAATGAATGCCGCCAATGAAAAGAAAATAATGAGTATCATCATCGGATGGGAACTTTGCCGTTAGAAAGTAGGAGACTGTGAGCTTTAAAGTACGGTGGCTCATCGTGCGGGAATTACTTACAGATTGACAGCCAAGACAAATATCTTATTAAGGGCAGCATTAAAACATTGCAATCTAAAGATACCGTTGCCTACAAAAAAGGTATAAAATCAATTTCGTAGTGTCTGAAATGAAATCAGGCCCTACGATGTGGGGCACATTGATTAAATCGACTGTGAAGCTGTGATAGTTTTATCTTCTATCCGTCTTATAACAGTATATCTCCTATTATTAACGTGAGAACGACAACGACCTCTAATAACATAACCAATAACAAAATTATAAGATTAAATTATTAACTTAATTGCTTATAATAATAATCACATCAATTTTATATTTCTTTACTATTGTTCGTATTGTCGGAACACAAAACGAAGTACCATGGTCCATTACGGCAAATACACTCGTAGCTATTCCTATTGAATAATTTTACGGAGTAGGTAGCTCGACGGCCTCAAGTCGCGGACTCTAAAACGCCCCGTCATCACGAACAACGAAGAATTTTTTTAAATTTACAAGCTTATAAATCGGATTGCCTCAATTTTTGTTTCAACGCAAACCTCTACAATAAACGAAATTACAAATGCCCTGTTTTATCATCCAAAAATGCATTTTAATTGTAAAAATAGAACTGCTTATGTCATTAATTAAGTTTAAACTGTTAAATTGAAAACGGATAAAAGAAATTAATTTACTTCTGAAAGTAAGGCCAAATTTATGTTATATCTCAAAGATGGTCTTTTCTCATTCATTCTTCTTAAAATAAGAGAAATACAATCAATAAATTTCCATTCGGTAATGATTATGGTACTGTGATTGTGAACATTTCAAAACAAAAAGATGAGATTTAAAAAGCTTACTAGAAAGGTGCTTTGCGCAGACTCCTCAAGAATTCTGATTGCAAGTATTATTTTTATTTATCAAGCTAAATATTTCTCTATGGTACTAATTTTCAATATGCAATGCCATTTCTATCAAATGTTCATTATGGGCAACAATTTCAATAACGTTTAAAGTCCGTAACTCCGAACCTTGGATGAACCTAGACAAATTCATTGGCCTCTCAGTCATTACTTATTGGTTAGAAGACTCTATTAACCCAAATAACTGACCCATTATATGACCCTTTGTATCAATTATTAGCAATGATAGCCTATTAGGATTGTCTCCAAATTAATAATACCGTAGCTTTAGAGTAGGGCTGTAAATATTTATTTAAATACGTTTATTTATCTTTGTACCGGCTATTATTATCATCATCATCATTAACTGAAAGTCACCCACGGCCTCCCTGCCGAAAGGCCTCCCCTGAATAACGGTTATTTTGCCATTTGTATTCATCAGTTGCCCGTAACTCTTACGACGATATAAGTCAATCTATTAAGCGGCTTTCCGACACTGCGACCTCCGCTTCGTGGTCGCAATACGAGAACTTTTATTCTCCATTAGTCATCAGTTCTTTGAGCATTGTGGCCTTGGAACTGACATTGTCACCCGATTTGCAAATCCGGGGAGCTATGTCGGCGGTTGTCTTCGGTGAATTTTCTTGTTTTTTGATTTTGTTACATAAAGAACCTCCGAGCATCCGACCCTGTCCATCCGACTGGCATTCTTCGACCGACTTGTTTGCCACAGTGAGGCCTGCCTAACTGGACACTTGGCCCAAGATAGACATAGTGCTGATCATCAACTTCTAGAGCATTGTTCGCAACAATAACCGATAGGGAGGGATGCAACATCAACATTGTACATGATTTTCGTCTTGCCCATGATAATTTTAAAACCCATCTGCTGGGAAACCTTACTGAGGTCGTATTGTATTATGGTCTAGGGATGAACCATTCGTGCAAGCCACCATTATTACACTGTTGAATCGACGCGCTAAATACTCCTTACAAATGATTTAACACAGGTTCGTTATCGCTGTGAAATTTCTGGTCCCTCGGTGAAATCCAGCGAGATTTTAGCCGCTAGGATTCCCTTTCTAAATATTAACGCCGCGGATACGTTAACTTTCTAATGGACGCACGTTTCATCGGCCCAATAAATTGTTACTGCGTACATTCATTGACTAAGTAAATATTATCGTTTTCCACTAATTAAGACCACCGGTTATGGATTAATTCAACTTGAATATTTAAGTTTAAGTTAGCGCCCGCGAATTCGTAGCCATTAACACAATTAATTTGAAAAATGCCATACTTGAAATATAAAAATATATGCATATTTTTTGAACCTTGTAAGTTATCGAAATACTATAATCCACCCACACGAAAATGAGTCATTTGATACGTTTTTGAAAGTTTATCCATTACGGAACCGATTTAGGACAAGCTTTCAGAGAGACAACAGACTGTTAGTCATTTTGTAAATTATTACATATATATACTTAAACTAATAGTAATGTTATATAAACAGACTATTTAATTTTATTATTACTACTGACATTCGAGTACAAAAAACTCGGTTTTGTCTTTTTGAAAAAGCCTTCAATGTTTTCACAATTTTGGAACGATTAAGGGAATTGATATTTGAAAGACGAATATAAATTTATACGCATATCAAAAATATACCTATACGTATAAATTTATATTTGTCTTTAATCTTCAATTTATACATTATGTACTTCAATAAATATGTGCGCACGCTTCTGGAGGTATCAGGTAGGTGAAACAAAAATAATTAATAAGGACTTGGACTGCATTGCAACGCTTGCCCGACTTAACATAATAGCCTATTAGCGATTCATCGATAAAGCGTGACAAAAACAAAGCCAAAGCACCTATATACAAGATTTATAGCTCTTAGCATTCTTGCGGTAATTCTAGCACTCTTGTGTCTCCAAGGCGACCAAGAGTTAATAATCCCTATGTAGCGGGCAAAGACATAGGATGTTGGTCGAATACGTTGAAATCGTTGCTTATTTACTGCCAACTCGCTACTTTGCCTCGTACACGTAGCAGTAGCAACTAAATGCTTCTGTTGCGTGTACGGGGATGGGTCAAAAGGTTAGCGGAATGGTTGATATGGTGGGAAGAAGCGTTACTATTTTTTACCTCCACCAGTTGTGACACTCGTTAAGGGTATAACAACAAACCTCCATAACAATCGTATCTTTACTCACTGAGATACAGTCGAACAAACAAATCAATGCGTAAGAAAATTTACAACACGAAGAAAATTGAGTTTCGCGCTGTCATGAAATTCTTCACCAAGCCAGGAAAACCTCCTTAGACCATTTCAGTACAGATGTCTCCTGGTGATGGGGAGTCTTACCTTTGTAAATCAAGGTAGGGATTCGATTGCAGATGATCCATGGTCTGGGTGGTCTTGAAAAAATCATATTGGATAGATTGGACACGAGTATCTTCGCATGTCAAAGGTGTACAGAAATGTGGGTGCAATTTGCGGTGGCTGCAAATAGTGGGCTTTGAAATCTTGGAAAATCCTCTATACAGCCCGGATTTTGTCACAAGCGGTTAATATTTGTTTCCGAAAATGAAAAAAAGGCTTCGAGGGAAGAACGTTTTCAGCTATAAGGAGGTGAAGACCGACGTTTAGTCTGTTTTGATGACAAAGACAAAACATTTTTGTAAGTATAAATAAATATATTAAGAAATCTACTAAATGGACCAAAGTTAAAGAATAATTAAAAAGAAAAGTAATTTTGTATTTTACTTTTTATCCACCCTCGTATACTTGGACCAAGCCGGCAGCTTAGTCCGTGTATCCACGGCCTCACAGAAGTAGAGTACTATTCGGTCTCTTACGTTACATTTCGTGTCGGCAACTCTGCTGACAGCGACTCCAATTACACGCCATCATCACTGTTTCTTCCTGAAAAACATTTTTGCGTTGCTTAAAACAGCGTCTTTGTAGTCTGCCACTACCGCTGGTCTTCACCACTGCTGCGCTTTGTCTGTTGCGGGTGTAATTACCCATAAGGTACACTGTTCGCAAAGAATTCATTTATCATCCGTACACCTAAGGAATGGAACAACCTGCCGGCGTCCGTCTTTCCGTCCGATTACAACGTAGGCGTCTTCAAGGCAAGAGTGTATAGGTTTTTACTGAGCTGGCGTTCTTACCATCAAAGGCTGCATCGCCACTTACCATCAAGTGGGATGTCAGTCAAGTGCTGGCCGCTCTAAATTAAAAAAAAAAAAAAAATTCGCCGATTTACGTTCGAGTGTACGATTGTCCAAGCCCCTGTCACCGTCGCCGGCCACAGGGGCCGTGGCGCGTAACGCCCGCCACTGCCAGTCCCGCAATGGCGGTGTGGTGCGGCGCGCGCATACTGCCGCTAGAGAGACGCGTCTACTCCATAACGCTAGTGGTGCGTAATTATGTTCCGCGCTCGGGGCTTCAATAGTCGATAGCGGGCGAAAGCAAAAACATCATCGGTTGAAGTAAAAACGTGTGTATGTTCGATTCGCGGTGTTGGAAAAGTGCGAATCGCTATAGAGACCGGTTCGTTTGTTCGGATACGATTCGAGGAAGTCTTTTTTCCCTTTTTTGGATTCACGTGTGATGGTTCTTTTATTACTGAAATTACGAATATTCGTATGACATATTTAAACAATTACACGGAAAAAGTAGTGGATTACGAATATAGAGTTACTACCCCTTTTTATTATATTTTTCCTATGCGACAAATAAAACATTAAATGAAGTTTAATTTCCTAGAGATAAGCTCAAGTTACACACCGCAGTTATGAAAAAATCCCAAAAAATCCAAATCCCAAAAAATCAACAATGTAATGTACGAAGACACTTACGATGTTAAAGTAAGAAGAATATTATTGTTTTAAAAATGACGGATTAAATGTCTATTCTGTGTGTTAGTTTTGTAATAGTTTTGATTTAGCAAATAAAATGTACTAGTAGAGAAATTTTAAGGAGTCTAAACAAACTTATTACTATATTTACTTCTGCTTACTTTTATCCCTCTATTAATTACGGAATTGCAATCTAAGTAGATATGTAACAAGATACGTGCCTCATTAAATTTACGAATTATTGAACCGTGATCTGGTCCGTTTTTGTTGCGGGATTTTTTTTATTCAGAGTAAAGCTCAATTTGTTGAAGCGTGTAGCGCAATTATAAAAAAACGGCGTCTCATGTTCTCATTTTCAAACCCGAGTAACTTTTCGGCTATAATTAGAATTAAAGCAATGGTTAAAGTAAAGATAGGAGGTATATTACAGATAAAAGTTACGACAAAAGATTCCAATTTTATTTTTACAATTTAGCTTATTGTTTTGTTTACTAAACTGGGTATAAACTAAAGTTCATCATCAATCCCATTTTTATTCATTTATTTAGATTAACGTTCATTGCAGAAATAAATTTGATTAAACTTTATTATTTCTTTTAGGATACGCGAATATTGCACATCGTTTATTGAGACTTTTAAATTTACAATAAGCCAACGGGAATTTACTGAACTTAACACTATAAAATACTTAAGCATATTTCGTCACATCGTATTAATGGCGGTAAAACTACACTATTTAATTGTGATATATGCCAAAGACTACGTTGTTTTTGGGTAAAATGAGAGCGCAACGAGGTTAGGCATCTGAATTAGTTTACTTATATGTTTAAATGAGATCTCAACTAAGCTAGGTATTTGAATATTTTCTTTATTTTACTCTAAAACCGATCACTAGTATTGATTTAATCTAGCGGCCGGTTTCAATGTTCTATCTACAGCCGTCGTTTCACATTAGCTCCATAATACTTCATCAAAATTCTATCTGGAGTAACCAACCAAATCTATCTGTAGATAGAATATTGAAATCGACCTTTAGATGGTGCACGAATGAGCCTAATAATATCCGCTCTTGATAAGACACTCACATTGTACTCGGAACGTATGGAAGGTCACTTATTTTACTGTGTTGGGTGAAATTTCGTATCAGTATCCGTACATATTAGAACATTATGAAGTTTATGATTTTTCCAGTGGTTTTTTTGTTGATACCTTAGTACAGAAGAGTATTTCTTATTGTCTATGCGGAAATAAAAATGAAAGTTTATGTTTGTGCGAACAATAAGCAATACTACCCATGTTTTATGGGTCGTAACAATTTAACTGTCGCCTCTTCAAAAATGCCCTCATCGCTTTCGGTTTATGTCACCAGAACTCGCTGGATATGTATAAGAATCGTTTATTAGTTTTTATATCAAATGAATAGTTTGTTTCACCAAGAAACTGGGCTCCGCAGTTATTGTTTATAGTAAAAAAATAGGACATATCAATTGAAACTTTCGTCTCGCCTGTCACTGGGTAAGAAGGGTACGGTGATTTTTATATAATAACACAAAGATATTGTTAGGTGTCAAATCTAGCAACTATGTGTTTCGCAGTCGATTCCGAAGCCGCTCCCGAAATACTAGGAGAGGCTAATAAGGTGGCTTAATAAGTAAGAACCCTTCATAACCATAGAAGACCGCGGTTATCTATCTCCCTAAGAACATAAAAGGACCAAATCTAATCAAGGAAACAACATCTGGAAAAAGAGTTTGTACGTTCGAAATGAAAAATCACAGATCGCTAATCGACTTTTAGATCACTAAGCCCGATAATTGAGTCCTCGGCTTTAATATATTTGAAACATTTTTTTTACAAAATCGTTCGTACTACGATATCGAAGCTCACACGAACGTTTACCGTAGACCATTCGAGACGGCAACAATTCAAACTGTTTCACTGGTTGCCTACCGTCCTCAATGGCGGATTGTTCCCGACAAATTCTGTTCCGATATTGACTGGCTTATCTCTATCCAATCGATTGGTCGAGCCGCACGTCCGACGGCTAACTGTTTATCTTCGATCTCGGCTGTTCATCGGAAGGTTGCGCATTCGAGACCTGCTAGAATTTTAATCGAAAATCGACGATTCTCGATTAGACTCTATATTAAGATTTATTATGTTTTATAATTTTTGTTCCAATGTATTGTTGAAATAGTAAAGTAAAGTATCAGCCTAAATAATTGTGAAATAATTATAAATTAGTAATTGGAAAGTAATTAAAAGGTAATGTAAGCATATGGTTAGGTTATAGTGAAATTACATAATTTTGCAAACATGATTTCGTCATATTCACATTATTTAAGTTCATTGAACTAGGAATCTCGAAATTATAAAAATAAGCACTAAAAACAAAAACCTCTCAGGCTTTGAACGTCAATCTTTGTTAAACATGTGCACATGTCAAGTTACATGAATCACGAAAATTGTAATAATTAAGCTCTACTTTTTATTTTCCTCGTTCCAATTTCCACGAGATATCTATGATCCCAACTGGATATACGAAGGATGATCCAAAAGTAACGATAATGAATATGGGCCAAGGTAATTAAACTTACAAAATATATTTACTTTTCAACATAGCCTCTTAATAACATAATCATTTAGTAACAGCGCAGTAGACATCTCTAATTTAGTTTTTCTCCATTTTGATGTTTTCTCTTTGACGGTTCGTATTCAAATGATTTTACCTCCCTGGAATCATGGCCATAATATATGTGGTTTTATGCAGACATATTTGGTATATAGATAACAAAATTTTTTTGGAGTTTTATACTTAACCGATTATCATTAGTTTTAGATCACCCATCGTAAATCACAGGATCGAATAATAAGTTTGTGAAAATTTTCAAGTGTTCGGTCTATCGTCGCAACACTGTCACTTACTGCTACTGACCATGACGGGTCGGTTAGACAATGGAGGAAGGGGACGCCGGCCCCATTAGATCTTACTGTGCACCACAGGTGCGCGTTCTGCTTGTTGAACTATTTCCGCTGCCGCTAGACTACATCCATCGCACATACTACGTCGCTGCAAGAGGCCATGGATGTACCATGGCCACTTCCAGAAGCGAATGGATGAGCCTGGTGTACTTTAAAAAAGTATTAAACCCTTTATGGACTGATTATTCCATGTTGTATTGCTGATTATACAAACAGTTAAGATTTATTTTTATTTTCCACAACAGCACAAATTCTTGTATATTATTACAACTGCGTAGTGCGTAGTGCATATATCATGACATACCAATGAAAGGAAATACTTTTTTTACATAAAATGTTTGCTCCAATCGTCTCTGAAAATTTGGCATATTTCGATTCTTGTCCTATTTAACGTATAGGCTTCTTATATGATTTGTGAATTTATTATCCGCTTTTACGATATTATCCTCACACAGTTCTATTTCGCCGTATGTAATAATTTTTATAAAACTTGCAATAACGCTTGACAAGTATGTATGAAATACTGCAGTAGCCTAGATTCGATGCGCTTATACCCGTGCCACTATTCGCTGCAGAGCTCTTACATTTTCATTGCGCACTGCATTTGGAACATTCGCATTTTGATTTTGTTCCTTTAATGGAACAGGGACTTCACGTGTTCTATCTTGTATTGCCCAGCTTGCGTAGCTGTTCATTGCATTGCATCGTAATAACAAAAATTAAAGACATCAAGTTATTATTATCACCTCGGTCTAGATATAAACGATCCTGATTCGACCCCCTGCATACCGAAATAAAATATATCGTCTTCTTGATTTATAAAGATTTTTAGGATTTGCGTTATCTTTATAAAGTACATCTATTAGCAGTAATTGATCAGCAAGACGTACCTAAATATACAGCGTGTCGTTACCATCGCGACAATAAATAAACACACGTCTAACGCTACTTGCCAATAATCATAAAAAAATATCAACGTTAAACAAAATCCATAATTAAAAAAAATATTTTTCAAACAAACTAATACGAAATAAAATTTGTATTTGTAAATATCCTATACAACTCGGGCCACAGCGTCGTATTACAAGCCTCTCCTTCTAACAGTATGTTTTGTCTCTTTTAAATTCATTCAACCCATTCATATGCTTTGTGACCTTTACAAATGAACTTTACGTTACGCTTTTATAGGTAAGGGTGTTCTAAAATTCTTTGTTTTGGAAAATTTAATAACTCTGTAAATATTGATGTTTAAAGAATTTAAATGTTTAATACAACTTTAAAAAGCTATCCCCTATATGTGTGTTCATTTATTGTCGCGATGGTAACGACACGCTGTATATGTACAAGAAGGAAAACTAGATTTCATTATAAATATTACTTTTTATATTTAGTATTAACGTAATGTAAGTTGTTCTTTCGTGTTATTAGGCCATTTATATAATTTAAATAACAAAGAAAAGTTTTACAATCTGTTTCATTCAAAGAAAACCCGGAAAGTCTAAGGAAACCGTTCGTTTCTTTTGTTAAGAATTCATACATTTATTATACTCGTATCGAGACGTTAGCGAAGTTTTTGTATGGAGCATCTAAAGGAATTGAAATATGTTTGTAACACTTTCAAATTAGTTGCTTATAAAAAGTCATAATTGTGAAATGTGTGAAATGTTAACATATATTCGTTTGACGATTCATAAGGGTTTCGTTTCTCCCAACGTTATAGTTTGAAAAAAAAATTGTTCAAAGAAAAATTATAACGCTTTATATGTGTATGGTAAGTTTTATTTAAATAATAAACCCCAGTATACAAAAATGATCATATCTTGTAAGTGTTTTTGTCTTATTTCGACTCGTGCAATGTGTAGCAATAATTATCGAATCATGGATCGTATCGTTTTCCATTAATACCGAAGCTACAGCAACATAAGTTTGGATTAGATCTCTGTGCACAATGCAAGTGATACAAAACAACAAGAAATGAATATTGAAAAGCACGGAATACAAATACAAATTACTTTATTTAAAAAAAAAAACCTTCTACACTTATGCCTAATGGAATGGTTTCATATATATATTATCCGATTGCACCACTTTGTTCTAATTTGGACTTTTTTATTCGTTCCAGATAGATCCAAACACAGCGTTTTTGCGCGCCGCGCGAGCGGGACAGCTGGATACAGTCGTCGATTTGCTGGACTCCGGAGCCGTGAAGGACATCAATACCTGCAACTCGGTATGTACTATTTTCTTATCAATTTGAAAAGTTGTCATGGAAGCAGCTAGGCGGCCGCCCACCTGATGTTAAGCGATTATAGCTGCCTATGAACATATGCATGAGTGAGAGATTGCAGATGCGCTGGAAACCTTTAAAAAAGTGGGCCAAAAAGTTTAAAAATAAAGGATATATATATAGAGAACAGGGAATTGTGTTAGATAATAAGAATTCGACATAGGCACTCAAAATTTCTCTCCACAGAATGCTAAGTATAGCCCAATGGCTGTCTTTTGTATCTTAATTAATAGCTGCTCAGAAGGAATTACGGCCCGAATTTTCAATTGTCTTTTACAACAATGAGGCATTAATAGCAACCTAGATTGTCTTTATGATAGGGTAAGACAAACTGCCGCTTATTTTATGCTCTTTTTTCCCCGTCTTGGTTCAAGTTTTCTACTTACACAACTATGCATAATGCACGTGAAAATGCTTCTACATCTTATGATTTTAAGGGCTATAGTCGATTTTATGGCCGCGTGGGAACGGATAGCTCGATAGGAAGTAGAGTGGAACTATATTTATCTCTCGACAACTTTACCTAAACATTCTGTAGCATTAAATATGTTTTCATATACGAAAGAAGATAAGTCACAAACCTTAATTAAACAAAAAAAAAATAACATAAGACACTATATCAGTCTATAAATATGCGCCATGTTGCAGAAAGTAAATTTCTTTATGAAGAAATTTACGCTTCCATGTTATCGGTAATGCAATAAGGAATTCCTTTGCCTATAATAACTTCCATTATTTTCCTGTTATCTATGTGGAATGGAATTAAGGTCGTGTTGATCTGTTATGAAGTTTCTTATAAGCGATCGCTTTCTGAAAGGATCTTTGAGCAAATTCTCTTGTGTATGCCTATCTAGTTGAATATGTTCAATATTACGTTGTCTTAACTCGCTATACAGCGAGTAGCGCACACTTTATACTGTATAATTTCAATTATTGCTTGATAAGCTTTAATCATTTCGTCAGTTCTATTAATGGAAACATTATTACATTAGAGATGGTAAGGTATATTAAATTTTTCAATGATAAATTTTTCAATGCTTACTCACAATTATGAATTTGCGTCAATGCAAAAAAAGGCATCGATTCATTTCAGTAGCTTGAGATAGCTCGATGACGGATTACGTATGAACAAGTAAATACTGAGTTTTTAGACGCATTTTCAGAGTTAATTAAAAATACCTTCTGAACGGGTAATATTAGAAAATACTAAATCATGGATCATAATCACAAATATAATTGTCATCGGTGCCTCGTTCAAGCTCTTACCGTAAACGTGAGCACATCATGCACCTGTCAGGATGCCATACGGATGTATGCATTATCTAATGAAACCAATCTAAATCCACGCGTTGTGCGCTCATTCATCAGCGTGTACATTATCATAGGACAGGATGACGATGGTGAACCCCCAAGGCTACTGTTACGCGGCATTGTGTTTTCTAGGCCAATGGTTATCGCAACAAGTTTTTGTTACGCTCATAATGCATTAGAAACTTTGTGAGAACTACGCTCGCTAATTGCTATTGCACAGGGGCTGCTGAGTTCCCGTGGGCCTGGAATACCCGGTTGAAACTTTGTCCACGTTTTTGGAAGCTTAAAATGCTTCTTCGTACAATGAAGCGCTAAAATCTTGATGGGATGACGCATTTTTGGTTTTTGTGTTTTTTAAACACATCGATTTTAATTTTCTTCGAATTTTACCTAAATTTAATTCGTTAAACATTTTTATTAAAACGTAAATTAAATTGGAATTTGACAGCGAACGATTTTACGAGCGTTTATAAAACAACTGGTTTGTCTTAGCTTCCCTGAGAAAAAGTATATCACTTGTGATCCTTAAATAAATAAATTAAGCAATTGAAGCTCATATAAGATTTGAATAAAATAGGAAGTTTATGCTGTGGATAGAGCATTTGTATTTTAATATTTTATGAAAATATGGGCCCTAAATGCGTTGTGTTTTTTCGTTTAGTTCATATTCCACCATTCACACTGTAATGGTAATTTAAGAAAATTACTTAATGAGTCTTAAGAACGTCTGGAAAAAATGAATGTTCTGAAGAAGTACTAATCACTCTTTTGCATTTAATGTCATTGTAAATAAACTTCATTGTAACAAAAATGTTAAGACGTATTTCTCGTATCATCCAAAACAAATACTGATGGATATATATCTAGGTGATAGAGTATACAGAGTCTGCTTAGGAACGCGGTTAAATACGGAATACTGCGTGTCGCGGACCGATATCTCCAGTAATATATTAATGTATCGAAGAAATACCAACGATGTACTTGGAACTAAACTCGGAAGCCGAAAACGTCAGTGACTTGTGTAAGCTTTTGGCGAATCAGATGTGCTTTTTTGTGCTCGCGTGATTGGTTTGTTGACTTTGTTCTCGCGTGATTGTTTTGTTGACCGAGTTTTAGGAAAAGCAATTACACGAACGTTGTGCGTAGACATAAATGTTGTCGGCCTTCAAACGAGCCGATACGTTCCGCTCTGTCGCGCGTCAACTATTGGGATCCTTTTACACTGCCGGGATTGCGTGACTGCATGTTTGTTGTGCACACGTTGAAATACATTACTCTTTATACATACGTATACATGTTTAAAATATTTCACCGTCTGCTTTTATTATATAAAATGTATGTTAAACATTTAAGAAGTTATCATTATTGTTGTAAGTAACAAAACACACCGGGTTATATAAATTTTGTTCACGTTTACTGCGTAGAGCCTCGCAGCATGTTCGAACGCTCGAGAAAGGTCTGGTTCGATTTTTTTTTAATACAAAAAAGGGGGCAGGAGCCTCATCTGATGGTAAAGTGATAACCGCTGCCCATGAATATCTGCAATACCGGACGGCTCGCAAATTGCTTTCTATTTCTTGATTCGATCCAACAACAAAGAAATGCAACCCTCATTGGGATGTGACACTCACCTACTAACTGATGAACCGCCCCCTTTTTGCACCTTCTCCCAAAGAAATCGATGGGAGTTAAGATCCTACATGTGGGAGGGCCACGCAGCAGCCTCAGCTGTTGCACTAGTATAATTCTTACTAGAAGTATAATTCTTTCGCGTTTCGTCTGGTGAGTGAGGTAGCCGGAGCCCAATTTTCGAAAGGTTTTCAACGCACCTGCAACCCTCGGGTGTCGCAAATGTCCATGGGCGGCGGTATTCACTTAACATCAGGTGAACCGCCTGTACGCTTGGCATGTTTTCACATAAAAAAATGTCTTATATTTTTTGTAAGCACGGGGTAGTAAATCCTCCCTGTATTGAGAAAAAATCCCTTTCGACAGCCAATTCAACCTCTATGAGTTAATTGCCTTTCTTGGAATTATGTCCTTTGAAATTAGACCTGGAAAACAAGCCAGCAGGGAACAATCTACCCCATACACTTATTATACACATATGTGCATTAATTCTTGGTTTGTAAATTTAACACACCTTAATAGATAGGCCATAGAGGAATTGTGGAGAATGTGGATCGAAAGAAATGCTATTCTTTTATGTCTGCTAGTTTCATATTGATTTTTTTTACAATAATTTATTTAAGAATTTCATTAAAAAACCCCTACCAATCTTCTCACGGGAGTAGCGTCGCGCCGGGTTCTCATTAGTCATTTTTATAAGTAGGCAAAGCAAATACCGTTAACTGTGCTCATGGAAGAAATAATTATGTTCGCACACTCGTGTTAATCGCAATTAAATCATATGAGGTATAATAATGTAACAATGATGTTATATATTATATTGTTCATAATATACCTAATTATGATTTCTATTATTATTGACGTATATTAATAGTAATGGTATTGGCTAGGTTTTTATGACCGTTCCCTTGACGTCAACCTTTTATGGAAATAAAAATCAGATCCGTATTATCTGTGGGTCACACAAATACTTTTAATAAAAATAATAATTTACTGCCAAGAAAAAATAGATTGTGCTTTTACCCTGTGAGAATCGAACCACGGACACGTTATATAGAGTTTACTTTTACTGTTAGTTTTTTGAATTCCGTAAATGTGCTAAAAATGAAAAATGTCTCCCTATACTAGGTGTTATTGTAATAAGCTGTTAAATTATATATATTTACTATAGATATTACGCAATCAAAATCTCCCATTGGCATCTGATTTTCCCAGTGCGTCGAACTAAATCGGAGCACGGTACTCGTAACGCGTACGCCCGATGAAACTTTAGAAATATGCGTAATTAATATGCGCGCAACGCTCCACGGGATTTCCAATTAAGTCGAGATTACGGCGTTGTATCACGAAGCCATTGCGACGTTACCGAGTGGCTGACTGGTAATGATCAAACCTCATTAAAAGGTATTAAAAGTATTTATCAGTTCGCCTGTTGGATACAATTAGGTGCGAGTTGAATATGTTGTTATATAGTCATCATGTCATTCGCAGCAAAAGCAACACCGCCTTAAAAGTGTTTGGGCACATTAAAATGCTTCAGGGTTCCGTACCCAAAGGGTAAAACGCGACCCTACTACTAAGACACCGCTGTCTGTCTGTCTATCCGTCTGTCACCAGGCTGAATCTCATGAACTGTGATAGTTATGCTAAACCCATTGTGCGCGAGTCTGACTCGCGCTTGAACGGTTATTTTATCAACTACTGCCAGGCGACATTATTATACTACGATATAATTCAGGTAAAAATGTCAAATACGTTAATATTTCAGATGAAAAATAGAGAGGGAAATCGACAAAATGTGCTTTATTAAGGATAATATGGATTCACAGGATTTCGATTATTCTTTTAAAATAATTGTCTTCATGGCTTTTAAAATAATCCCAAATTAATGGTACCTGGTGCTCAAAGGGAACACCGCATTTGGGTTTAAATAATCTCCACAGATGACTAGTTGCATCATTCCACTCCGTTAGATTAAAAGGGGCGAGATAATTTGTTTTTAAAACCTTTGTTTAAACAGACGTCCACCTTAATCTCAATACATAAGAAAAACGACCAAATCCGTGCTTAACACTAATATGTATTTCACACGAGTCGTTCTGAATACAGGGAACATTACAACTTCCAATTGGATTTAAATAAGTTTGCTCCATATTTTGCGATAATACAATATGGTAGTTATTAATTCCCTTAGTTCGTGTTAACTAAGTTGCAGTTGACGCGGCTCATAACAAAATTAAGAAGTACCGCTATTGTAGAACTTTATTAGATAGAACAACTTCCCTGCGAGCTGAAACTCAATCTTAAATCTTTTCGAAATTCAAATAACGCTCAGGTTCTTGTTTCCAATAATACCCTTTCTTTATGAAAATTCTTCGAATATTACCCTTTTCAGGGAAGTTTACTAGAAGTTAGTCTCACTTCCGACTAAGACGATCTTCTGGTATAAGTTGTTGAAATGAAAGATAAAAAAGAATCTCTGTGGAACATTTTCACTGAACTTTCAATTGTAATAGAATGAGTTATTTGTAGCTAAAATATAAAGTTCTGGTTAAAAAGTGCATTTGCCATATGCGAAATTCTGCGTAACTTAACCAGTCACGCAGAATTTCCCCTCAGCTGTACCACGGATAAATATCTGATTCTACTTCTTTTTTTTCTTTCCACTTCCCTCCTTCAGCCGTCATCTAACCCACTCGTTTTGCAGACATGTGATTCTTCACACAGCCCATCAAAATCTTTTACGATCTAGATTGACCAACGATATCTCAATGTTTTATGATCAAAATCTTTTGTGATCTAGATTGAGCAGATACGATCTAGCTTGACCAATCTGCTAAACTTAGCAATTTCTTTCAACGTACAAGGCGTCAACCCGCCAAATACCACCCTGATCGGTTGTATCGATATCATTTCAGTAGCCCCGTCCACCACCACGCGTTTTCATGCAACTTTCTGCCATGCAACTTACAACCAAATTGTGGAATCAGTTATCGACAGTGGTATTTTAGGACCGAAAGAACGAATTATAGACCATCAAAATGAGAGCCTTTTTTTTTCTCAAAGGCTGACAACGCATTGGGGGCGGTGATCACTTGCCATCGGGTGACCCGCTTACTGGGTTGCTTCCTTTTCAACGGACTTTAAAAAATGAAGAGGTTATTTCGGTTGTACGTTTTCTTTTTGTTACCTCCGAACTCCGTCATTCATAAACCGATTTTAAAAATTATTCTTGCATTGGGTTCGTTTTCCTTATATACCTTATAGCCTACATATCCTCACAATCATTGGTATTGGAAATTGGACACCGGAGATTAAAATTGTTTTAATCTCCGGCGGATTAAATTTGGACTAAAAAAATGTTTTTAAACGTTTTGTTTCTTGCTTCTCTTACAGAACGGCCTCAACGCACTACATCTCGCAGCGAAAGATGGTCACATATCCGTGGTGGAGGAACTCTTAAAAAGAGGCGCAACCGTCGACGCCGCTACTAAAAAAGGTAGGTTTCAACTTTATACACATGTTTGTACAAAGGCGGACTTAATGCCAACAGCATTTTCTACTAAAGGTAAAGAAACAAGCTTAGGATAGCCTCAATCGCCAGACGAAACGCAAAAATACTACTTCTACTTCACGCCGGTCTCCTGTGAAGTCGTGGCAAGTACCCGGACCTATCCATTCGACCAGTGAAAGCTGTTGCGGGGCCCTACCACAGTTAGGTTAGTACCAGTAGGCTTCTAACGATATTACAAGGTGATTGTTGCTAACTTCGCAGGCAACACAGCCCTCCACATAGCATGCCTGGCGGGCCAGGAGGATGTGGCTCGAGCGCTCCTCGGTGCTGGGGCGAAGGCCGACGCCCAATCGGCGGCTGGCTTCACGCCTCTCTACATGGCCGCCCAGGAAAACCACGCGGGATGCGTCAAGATGCTCCTCGCTGCCGGGGCCAGTCAGACCCTCGCGACAGAGGTATGTAAATTACGTGGGCTCCAGCCAGAGGTTGCAAAAAAAAAGCAATTCTTATAAAATATAATTTATTTTACTTTAAAATATTACAATAAAATTATAGCTAATAAAGGTGACTCTAATTCGATGTGTGAATTAAGAATGAGGATCGATTACAATTTCGAAATAAGGTAAAGAATTTATGACGCAAATGCGTTGTGCTGAGTCGGTGCCTCGTGCCATCGCGTTGGAGTCCGATGCCGTTGCAACGCAGCAGATCCCTTATACTAGGGCTGCGTAACATGTATATAAATAATAACGAAGTCTGTATATAAATATCGCACCAACAGTTTACAGGAGTTCTTATTATGTCTAGTAACGATGTTTACCTAGTACCCATTTTTTTTGTTAAAGCGGGGGAAATGCCTACGCGGGGGTTAGATAGAAATTACGTAGGAAATGCATTATTAGCGTCTAAACTATTCTTCATTTTTCCTAACTTCTTAAAGTACTATTGGCAATGAAACTGGGCACAGTGATTGTCCAAATTATAGCCCACCTCTTTCAAGAGGCTATGTATAGTAGCGGACAATTCCCCCGTCGTTAACTCTCCTTGACTACGTATCTACGGATTCGTGACTCCCGAAATATAGTCACTACATAGTATAAAACAAAGTCGTCCCGCTGTCTATCTGTCTGTCCATAAGGAAGCTTAGATCTATACAACACCAAGAAGCTTACTTTAAAATCACGCAACGGATCTTGATGCCATTTTTTACTAGATAAAGTGATTCAAAAGGAAGGTTTGTATGTATAATACATTGCACCCTTGCGGAGCCGGGGCGAGTCGCTAGTTTTCGATACAGCAGACGACGCATGTTATGGCTTCGTCCTGACCGAGTAAAGAAACTTTTGCTCTGTGTGTTTGCAGGACGGTTTCACGCCGCTGGCGGTGGCTATGCAGCAGGGACATGACCGAGTGGTCGCCGAACTCCTAGAGTCGGACACGCGGGGCAAAGTGCGGCTACCCGCCTTGCACATAGCCGCCAAGAAGAACGACGTGAAGGCCGCTATGCTTCTACTCGAGGTAAAGAATAAACAAAAACCCGACTGAATAAAAACTAAAAATAAATAGAGAGTAGTTCAGAGTGTTGTTAAAATTTATACTGAACATCTACAAGATCGAAATAGTTTTATAATCGATACACAAATAAAAAGTCATAAATTCTTATACAGAATAGGATTAATAAGATTTTACGAAAAAGAATGAAGCAAAAAGAATGAGAAAGATGAGAGCAGCCGTTTCATTTTTGTTTTTTTTTCTCATTCTACTCACGAACTTTATTTCGATAGTAACACTCTAACTTACTTCCTTAGATGAATGTCCAGTTTTTAAAATTAAATGATTATTTGTAATTTTTTAGCCTCAACAAATTGAGCACTCAATACTCCTTTCGAGCTATCGCATTCATTCCTAGTGTTGTTATTGTAGAAACAGGCTTACGTGTCCTCGTTCCATTCAACTTTAGCCATTCAGTTGAACAGACTGGGTTATTAACTTCCATTCGAACACTTTGAAGTTTGGAGTCACTACGCGCAGTCCGTTCCGTTGGGGAATGAGAACTGCGTCCGTCGGGTCGTTTCAACGTTCCCCGCTTCATTCGTTTCCATTCGTTCACCGTTCACCGCTCCATTCGTTTGTATTCTTTCACCGTTCACCGCTCCGTGCGTTCTCAGAACGAGCACAACCCAGACGCGTGCTCCAAATCGGGCTTCACGCCGCTCCACATCGCCGCCCACTACGGCAACGTGGGCGTGGCGAAGGCGCTGCTGGCCAGCGGCGCTGACCCCGGGCGCGCGGCTAAACACAACATAACCCCGCTGCACGTCGCCAGCAAGTGGGGTCAGCTGGCGATGGTCGACCTGCTCGTAGAGAACGGTATGTTTCCTTGTTGAGTACGCGCGAAAGAACGGTACGAAGCTCGTCTAAGTTGTTGCGTATAGGTCATCTGAAACTCAATGAAGTTGGCTCTGTATATTATATTTATTTCGTATTGCCCACTACATGGAGTGAAGAGCTACGCAAATGTGCGGGAAGTCGACGGATTCAGTAGGCTCGGGATCGTGCTCCGCCGCGGTCTGTAGGGGAGGCCTATGTTCAATTGTGGACTCAAACAGGCTGAAATGATGACGATGATGAATATATTTTTAGAGAGGGCAACACTGACTGCTCGAGAGCGGTAGTGGTGAAACGTAGTAGTGTAGGTATGTATTTTTAGTGTACTGGAATACAACCAATCATCTATCTTCTGAAGGTCTCAATTTTTTTTATTATAGTATTTAGTTTTTAGTATAGGATAGCTTGATGATTCTGCCAATGTCAAGGTTGAATAAAACAGACTGTTATTGATAAAATTTCTTATAGTGATGACTTTTGTACGGTATTTAGAAAATCATACTTTATTAGTTGACATACCTGAATAGAAACTAAACAATTTGTTAGAAGATGAATAAAAATAAGTAAAGATGACTAAAATGATAAAGGTGACATAAACAATTACAAGGAGGAGAAATGGAATGTTAAAGCTTTATATTATAAATACAAAGGTATTTATATAGTACTTTGACAACGTGCAAGTCATTAAGAGTTAAAAGGAATGGGATATTTACATGTCTAGGGAACTTTGAGGGAAGGTTATCGTATAGGGGGACGTTAAGATTTGGACAAGAAATAAACATGTGTTCCAGAGTACCCTCTGCTAAGCCGCACTGACTGGTCTCAATTGTTCTCAGCTCATTTGAAGCTTCAAGTACATAATACTTTGATTCCGCAGCGACGAAATTCATTTTATATGAATGTTAGGCAGATTATATACAAACCTGTTACGAATAGTCTCATTCCTCTATAAAGATATAAGTGGATATATATTTGGCAGTCTAAATCGATCCCATTACTGTTAAATTACGACTTGTGTATACAATGATCTATAGAATTATTGCCATAAATCAGTTTCAGCAGAACAGGATTGTGTAATGCATATGGTACAATATAATTTGAACTCTATTGTAATACATTTAAGGTGCAAACATCGCGGACAATTACGCTTTGCTCGTCAATTTTTTAATGTTTTTGTGAGCAATATAGTTTGAACTCTATTGTCATGCTTTTAAGGTGCAAACATAGCGGCTGTGACCAGGGACGGGCTGACTCCTCTGCACTGCGCCGCCCGCTCGGGCCACAGCAACGTAGTGTCGCGTCTATTGCAACATGGCGCGCCCATCACCAGTAAAACTAAGGTGACAAGTCTATAACATTTTGTCTACAATATTTTTTTTTTCATTAAAAACTAGCAAGCAGTTTGTCTAAAGAAATTACGCTATCCATTGATGTCGAATACCAAGGGCGTAGGGGTATTTCTACACTTTGCACAGTTATGCGAATTTCATTTCTAAGATTATTTACACGATGTAGAAAAGAGCACATATTATGAACTCCTGAAAATCAATTATAAAATGAATACAGAGCGAGATGCTTGAAGTCGGTTCAGGTTAATAAAAAAAATTGACTTTTTTTTTATTACAGAACGGTCTCACTCCTCTCCACATGTCCGTGCAAGGCGAACACGTGGAGACGGCCAAAGTCCTCCTTACAGAGGGCGCCCCCATCGATGACGTCACAGTCGATTACTTGACGGCGCTGCACGTCGCCGCACACTGCGGCCATGTCAAAGTAAATTGAACTCTATTTCTTTCTGTATTTTTTTTCTTCTTTTTTTCTTTTCCAAAAGAATAATATTACCGTTAAAATACTAATCATTTCCAGGACACAATTTTACGCAACTTTATCTGGTTCCAAATTAACCGAAGCTTGTATATGGGTACCAAGTAACTGATAAACATACTTAAACATACTTTACCCAGACGCTAGAAAAACATTTGTTTTTCTAGTGTCTGGGTGTTTATATATATGTATAATATGTATTTATTTACAAAAGAAAAGTATGTTTAAGTATGTATATCAGTTTTCTCGTACCCATAGTACAAGCTTTGCTTAGTTTGGAACTAGAAAATGTTGTGTAAAAATGTGTCCTAAAATATTTAAAAATATATATATATTATGACCATAATATAGAATTATATTCCTCCCTCCATTAGGTAGCCAAGCTACTGTTGGACAGGAACGCAGACGCGAACGCGCGCGCTCTCAACGGATTCACACCCCTGCATATTGCGTGCAAGAAGAACAGGCTCAAAGTCGTCGAATTGCTGCTGAAATACGGCGCAAGTAAGTGTTTATTTATATGTACTTGTCTAAATTAAACACTAATTTGGTACACTAAAATAGTATTCAATATATGAAAAAAATTATGAATCGTAAAATATTCTTACACTAATCCGATTTGACTGAACTTAACTCAGAATTAGATGCGAAGCTTATATATTGCCCAAAATTATGTATTCCCCAATCAACATGTAGTACTAACAAATTTTCTTTATAGTAAATACTGTTACGTTATTATTGATCATGATATTAAATTATTAATACACAATTGTATCGAGTCGTTTAAAGTATTTTTGAAAAAATTTAACTACAACAGGTAACTAGCTGAATTTCGATGAGATTTTTATAAAAGGCACATAACGAATGATAGTAAAAATTTTAAAATCTTAACATAAATGTAACGTCCACAAGTCGAGGCGTAATTTTCAACGACAAAACAAGTCAACGCCAGGTAAGTTCGTCAGTAGCGCAGTACGCAACACAGTGATCCCGTCCGTTCCTCAAGGCAAATCGGCGACCACCGAGTCGGGGCTGACGCCGCTGCACGTGGCCGCCTTCATGGGCTGCATGAACATCGCCCTGGTGCTGGTGGGCGCGGGCGCGGATGCGGACGCGGCCACAGCGAGGGGCGAGACGCCGCTGCACCTCGCCGCCAGGGCGCACCAGACCGACCTCGTGCGCGTGCTGCTGCGGAACAACGCCAAGGTACGCGCCGCGCTCTCAGTGCTGCGGATAGATGCAACGTGCGTTGGCAACCTTTTGAGAATTGGACTCCGGCTACCTCACTCACCACACGAAACGAGTGAGAAGAGTATACCTCACTTTATAAAATTTTAATATATATATTTACCTTATGTGATAAACATACCGAGCAAGCCATAATTTAATTTAATTTATTGTGCAGCTGTTTATTTTAAGCCACATTTTTATTTATTTTTTTACTATTTCATTATTTATAGTTTTAAATTTATATTTATTGTTATGTTCAACTGTACTTGCTGTGCTTATCTATAAGTTATTGTTACACTTATACAAGTACTTATTGTTTCTTTTCTTTTTTATTATTAAGATATAGTGTTGTTGATAGTTGTTGATAGGCCTTTTAAAAATAAAAATAAAAAAACGAGAAAGTATTTGTCATACTTCCACTTTAGGCTGATCGTGGTACTTACCCGGACGGGCCTACCCATTCGTGCAACAGCCGAGGCTGCTGCGTGGCCCTACCTAGAAGACCTATTGTGGTATTACGGCTGGTTTTATCGATCTACAGATAGATTTGGTTTTATACAGTTTTGACGTAATACCTACGTATAGCTAGTAACAAAATCTATCTGTAGTTAAAATATCGATACCAGCTGTTGCTGTTGCAGAGTGAGAAGGCTTAAGAAACAGCTGTTCATGTCGAGCAGGTCGAAGCGAGGGCCCGCGAGGAGCAGACGCCGCTGCACGTGGCGGCCCGCCTGGGGCACGCGGACATCGCCGCGTTGCTGCTGCAACACGGCGCAGATGTCGCCGCCGCCACCAAGGACCTGTACACGCCCCTGCACATCGCCGCCAAGGAAGGTGAGGCCGTGATGCGTTTTGAAGCGAAACCTCTAATGCGACTTCCAACAAGGTTGCGTTAAACGTTTAACGCTACCACGGAGGGGGTATGAAAGCACTGCTGCGTTAAACGTTCAACGCTCCTGGGGATGGGGAATAGAAAGAGACAGAGCGAGCTTTTACTCCTTCAATTTAACAATAAATTTAACGTGTTATGACGTACACCGAAACCGTTAATGTTTCATCTTATATCGTCAAAATATATAACAAAAGTCAATTTGAAAGTTATATTTTATATATTAGTAACTAATACATGTATTCTTAATCCAAATGTATATAATCTGAGAGGTGTGACGATGCTCATTATCAACAATATTAATGGCCTTAAACAGATGTAACGGGTGATTAAATCTAATAGTAATAGTAATAGTGATGAAATCACCCGTTACACAGACAGAAAAAATAATCAACAATAAAAGAAGTCTTAAAATTTTTTGAATATGCCAAAATCGTTGATTACCTTTTAGCCTTGAGGTGTATCACAAAAATCAAATTGAAAGTAATTTTAATTAAAAAATCATACAATCTGAAAGGTTTAATGATGCTTATTGTCAACAATATTAATGGCCCTTCGAGCCGGATAGGAGATGTTTAGTTTTCCTTCTTTACGTTTCTGATTTGAAACGATCGGCACTGCCTCTATTTATACCCCATAGACTGCGAACTTCACTCTGGAGGAGATCATTATTAAACTTAAAACTCTGATGTTTATTATATTCATTTGAATTTATGATCGTCGTAATATGAACCTTAGCAATCTAACATGAACACTGATTTTAAATACCACGTTCAACATCGACATTTAACCATTCCTCGCAGGCAAGGAAGAACTAACTTCGACACTTTAAACAGCACGTTTTACATCGCCAATTATCTATTCTTCTCAGGCAAGGAAGAAGTGGCGTCCATACTGCTGGACAACAGCGCGCCGATCGAAGCCGAGACACGCAAGGGGTTCACGCCGCTGCACTTGGCCGCTAAGTACGGCGACATGGGTGTTGCCAGACTGCTCTTGGCGCGGGGGGCCCAGCCCGACGCGCCGGGCAAGAGTCACATCACTCCGTTACATATGGCAACGTACTACGGCCATCCGGATATCGCGCTACTCCTACTCGACAAAGGCAAGTGATAGTTCACGTATTGGCCCGGGGAATCACCGCGCCCTACGTACGCTTTCGTATTAGTGGCCCGGGGAATCCCCACGCACCACGTGTTCACAATCATCGCCATTCGTGCATCTAAAGTAATTTATTGAAACTGACTGTATTATTGAAAACTGCCGGCTAGTAACCCGTGTTGCCCGTTGTTTTTACAATCACAATATCATTGTCAGTTAGTTGTGTTGTAAGGACGTTATACAAACATAAATTGCACGAGGACAAACACCCAGATGCGAAAAAACTAATCTGTGGGTTGCACAAATAGTTTTCCCGTGTGGGAATCGAATCCACGATCCCCGACGCCGAAGCCAATACCTTGGCAACTGCGCCATGGAGACAGTTTGCCCTTTTTGAACCTTTTCTAAAGTAATTGAAATAAAGAATTAATCAACGAATAAATTTTTGTCCTTACAGAATATACGAAACCCAAGGAGTTCATAACTACATGAATTATATTATGAAATATATATATCCAATTCATGGTACTTAAGCTATTATATTAGTATTTTCCGCTATAACAGTATTTTATTCTACAGGAGCGTCACCCCACTCGCTGGCGAAGAACGGCCACTCCGCCTTACACATCGCTTGCCGACACAACCATCCCGATATCGCATTTGCTCTTCTCGAACATGGTAATTATGTATTCCTTATTACATCTCCAACTGTTCTATAACATCTCGAATATACGTGTGATTTTACGCAAAATTATTTTTCGATTTTTACTGAGCTGGCGCGCTTACCATCAATGTCTACATCGTCACTTACCATCAGGTGGGATAGCAGTTAAGTCCTGGCCAGACATGAATTAAACAAAAGAAAAAACAAGCCGAAGCGAATCTTTAGGACTGATCATCGCAAAGGAATGAATTTAATACTAGCTACATTAATTGACGTTCCTGTGACGTTTTTCCTTCGATGTGTAGTCCTTTTTGAAGTTTAACGTAAATTAGGTATGTAGTTATGAACAACCAACCGAAAAGCATTTAAAGTATTTTCATTAATTTACAAGAGACGCAAATAACAATAAAACGTGTTAATTCTGAAAACTAAAGAGAATATCATCTGACAGATGCAGACCCTGGTGTTAAATCAAAGGCGGGCTTCACTCCACTGCATATGGCGGCTCAAGAAGGTCACGAAGATTGTGTAGAGATGCTGATAGAGCGCGGCGCCGATGTTAACGTACCAGCCAATAATGGTGAGTTTAACTTAATAAACTCTTTAATATCGACATAATAGATAATAGGATTTAAACAAGTTTTAATAAAGTATCAGTTTTATTTCAATATAATACAAGGATAAAATCTTCTACTGTGAATTTTTTATTGTGGACTGACATGCGGCCATCTTGAAAGTTCGACAACGCAACCGCAACTTCGACAGATTTGTAACAGATTGTGATATCAATGGACTGCGATAATCGACTATAGTCCGTCCATTCGCGTTAAGAAAATTCCGAGTAATCAATCTAACTGTCCCCTTGCCTCTACTATTTATTTAATTCTATTGAATCATACTTTTATTAAGAAGTTTAGTAAGAAGATTTCTTATATAAAAAAGAACCAAGACTCATTATTCTCTTAACGCGACCGGACAGTATAAGATCGTCAATGATGTTTAATAATATTTATATTTTACGCTTTACGTTGTATGACATGTATAAGTGAATGTGACAGATAACATAGAACGTATGATACGTAGGATACGAATTGCAATGTAATTACACCGATCGGCGTAATTTGAGTGCCTCACTTTTGGTGCGCTAGTGTCATGTCATCGTTATTGTACATAACATCGTTGAGGGTGGTATAACAACGTGCGCTTCGTCCGCAGGGCTGACGGCGGTGCACCTGGCGGCCACGGAGGGGCGCACGGCGGTGCTGCGCTCGCTGCTCGCCGCGGGCGGCCGCTGCGGCGCGCGCACCCGCGACGGCTACACGCCGCTGCACGCGGCCGCGCACCACGCGCACCTGGCGGCCGCGCGCGCGCTGCTCGACGCCGGCGCAGACGTGGCCGCGCGCGCCGCGCACGGGTGGGTACGCTCGCGCGCGGCGTGCTTTAACGGTGCCGCCCCGTACGGAGGGGAAGTACTGTCGCGCTCGGCATCCAGTCGCGTCTCTCGATGTCGACTGTTCTGATAGTGTGGGTAAAGTGGCATGCGACGTTCTTGAGGAGGGCCGTCCTGTATTAAGGGGAAGTACTGTCGCGCTCAGCATCCAGTCACGTCTCTCAATGTCGACGGTGACATTGTGGGTACAGTTGCGCGCGGCGTGTTTAGGAGGGCCGCGTTGTACGAAGGGCAAGTACTGTCGCGCTCAAGGGCTCCCGCCCCGCCCAAGGGAAAGGTACTGTCGCGTTCAATATCCGATCTCGTCTCTCGATAACGTCGGTGTCAACCGTACGCACATTATACTTGCGACGTTTTCGAAGATGTCTCCTCTCGCCCCATCCAAAGGGGAAAGTACTCTCGCGCTTAACATCCCGTCATGTGCTGTAACAACGGCGTCGATTATATGGACGTTGAGTTCGTAGAGTTTTGAAAAGTCCGCCTCCCGCCCCGCCCAAAGGAAGTACTGTCATGATCCTCGACCACGCTTCGTTCGCGCTTCTGTGTACAGGTGTCGACTGTACGGATGTTAAACTTATGGCGTCGTTGAATGAGTCTTCTCCCGTCCAAAGTGAAAGTACCATGTTTAGGTCACGCTACTCTATAAAGGCGTCGACGGGCGTTGGGGTTTTGAAGAGGCCGCATCCCGCTCAGTCCAAAGGAAAAAAGTACTATCGCTACTATCGGTCCCCGACCACATTACAAACGCACAAAGCATTTTTGTAGTATCCTGTCCCGTTCTGTGGGGATGTATCCATCGCGTTCAGCAATTAGTTACGTCTCGATAAAGATGACGTTGGGCTCACCTTTATAGCAATCTATGGGGAAAGTACTGTCGTGGTCCACAACTAACTTAAACTTCGTCTGTTCAGATTCACTCCGCTGCACCAAGCGGCTCAACAGGGGCATACCTTGATCATTCAGTTGCTGCTGAAGAACAACGCGGATCCCAACGCATTATCTGCTGTGAGTTTTTTCTATGTAAATAGTTGTCAAACGAGAAGAAAGAGCGGTTCACCTGATTTTGTTAGATTTCTGAAGGCTTTCAAATGCGTAAGGTTGGGAACCTTTAAAAAATGGGTTTTTTTCGGATACCTCAAATCACTTCGTCTGTTCGAAACGCGCTGCAAAAGTATAATAGTAAATACCTAGATAATTCAGTAGTAAAAAGAACAAGGCCGTGATACCCAACGCATTCCCCTGTGTGCCTGCCTAGTTGTCGAGCCGCAATAGATACATTAATGACGTTTTTTAATCAGTTGCCATTGTCGTGTCCATTATGCGGGATAGAGAAATGAAGAGAAGCTTTTACTGTCCAATGTTGAGACTCGAATAAGATATAAAGATGGATATCTTTCACATGAATAGTTGAGCTGTTTCAGTTTGATATATGGATGTATGCTTGGACATGGGCATACGGTCTAGAATCATGATTGAATATGAAAATTGCTCTATCACAAGTATAGTTATACTCGTAGTAAATGTTCAAAATTTAATAGTCAAAGTTTCTATGTAGACATGAGTAATAAGATATCGACGTCGGCGATTTGAACTCGTGTGGGAGAAATTTTAAAAACTTTATATTCTTCTTCTACTTACTTTGTGCATAAAGAAAAAAAAATAAAACATAAGTGCTCGCACACTAAACTATATGGTAGCTTCACGGCTGTTCCGATATAATATTCCCGTCGCACCCGATGTAAAGTGCTGATTTTATCATAAACTAGCGACCCGCTCCGGCTTCGCACGGGTGCAATGCTGATACTAAATATACTCTAATATGGTTCTCTACTATATCATGCATGTATTATACATATAAACCTTCCTCCTGAATCACTCTATCTAGTAAAAAAAACCGCATCCAGATCCGTTGCGCAGTTTTAAAGATCTAAGCTAGCCCGCCCGTTGCGCAGCCCTATGTATAGGGACAGACTGACAGCGGGACGACTTTGTTTTATACTATGTAATGATGAGTACACTACATAGACGCCTTTGGGCCCTGATGACTCAGTTGATGTGATTCCCACAGGGAAAAGGTATTTGTGTGACCGAAAGATAATTGTTTCGGATTTGGGGTGTTTGTTGTACCTAGCCTAATACCATAAACATGATTAACGTCTGTGCCGACTCCCTAAAGAAAGAGGTAGAAATCTGATTAGTATCGTCTTGAATACTTTTGAGTCGAAAAATAACTAAATCTCTCTTGCAAACAGAATGGACAGACCGCGTGCGCGATTGCCGACAGGCTCGGCTATATCAGCGCAGTGGAGGCGCTCCGCCCTGTCACCGAGAACACACTGAGCCAGGCTGTTGGCGACGCTGGTGAGTGATGCTATTCTACTTCATTAACTGACTTCAAAAAAGAAGGAGGTTTCTCAATTCGACTGTATATATTTTTATTTTTTTTATGTGTGTTCGCGGATAACTTCGTCGTTTATGAACCGATTCTGATGATTATTTTTTTTGTTGGCGAGGATATATCCCAAGGGTGGTACCATGATAAGGAAACCCGGATCAGATGATTGAATCCCAGAGAAAACGAGGGCAATCCTCAAATGTTATATGTGTTAACAATGCTTTGTTTGTATAGTTTCCTGTTTGAAGTCGGTTTCTTTTTTCGTTAGTAATAATGGACTTGTTTTTAATATAGCCTTAAAATTCCCGTGGGATCGGTAACGTGAGGCAGATTTTCGCAATCTTTACGATAGTTTGAAAAAGAGAAAGCGACATTTTAGTGTGTACGCGATAGTCGGCCGAAAAGTTTTTAGCAATGCAGTATCGAGCTTGGATAGGGGTGCCCTTTACTCGGTAAAAAAAAGAACAATTCGACAGAGATGCTCGTATGGTGTACACGAACTTGTCTACCACGAGTGCAAACAGCTTGTACAGCAAGCCGCTGTGCCCGATTTTATCGAAAGCCTTTGAGACATCAAAGAAGAAAGCTCTCGCAGTATGAGTTGGGGTGTATGATGAACCTTTCAGGATGTACTCTGTCACGCGGTAGATCTGTTAAGGCCCGGATTGATGTGGTCGAAATCCGAACTTTACAAGAAGCCGCTCTATTTTTTTAACTACATAATTCTTTATCCTCTGTTGCGTGAACAACTCTTAATGAAAAATGAAAATGTGTCTATAACAGTATTCATTTACACCCAAGTAAAATAATATTCATTAAAATTCATAAATGGAAGGAACGATAAATTATAAGAAAAAAAATCTAACTCGCGTGTTAATAATTATATTATGCCTCAGAACAATGTCTCCTATTACCTGTTGGTTTGTAACATTATGCTCAAAGATTCATGGACGATGCTAACGTATAGACGGTTATATGCAATAAATCCAAAACGATTTAGCTGAAAAATAATTTTCCGCTAATGTACCGCACGGAACGGAACGGTTTGAACGCTAACACCAAGTCAAACGCGTCCGTCGACGACGCCGAATCTTTGATCTAATTCCGTTGCCCCGGCTGGATTTAACGATATCCGAGCGGCCGAGTAAATATGAAACTGGACGACGGCCAGGCCGCCAAGGGAGCGACGTTCGCGCGTAGTGTAGATCGACTCACAGGTTTTCGCATTGAAGCCTGCATTCCAACTATCATCATCATCTTCCTGCCCTGATCCTACCAAGGTGCGGTCGGCACAACATCTGAATCTTGGTTTTTTGTGAGAGGATGGCAAGCGAGCAGTTCTTCACCTTATGTTAAGTGATAACCGACGTCTTTTGCCATTTGCAACACACGTATGGTCGCAGATGCGTTGCCACCTTTTAGTAACGTGAGCCCCGGCTACATCATTCACCAAACCAAACGCAGAAGTATAATACTACCACCCCAGTGGTTAGTTTTTTAGACAGGCCGCCTGACTGATTGACTGTTTATTTTGGGAATATGCACACAGATCTGGAACACATCCTGTGGGTCACACGAATACTTGTTCCGTGCGGGAATCGAACGCACGACCCCAGCACTGGAGCCAATAGCTTAGCAACCTAGCCACGGAGCCGTTTCAATTATTCTAACCACGTTCGATTTATTTAGCTGATGACTGCCAAGGGATATACGGGTCTAGTGTTTGCTGGGTCCGATGACGAATATAAAGGGAACTATATTTATATAATTGTTTTCTAAATTCGTCATAGTCAGTTCAACAACCCCAAATATTTATTATGCTCAAAATATCGATAATCTAACAATTAGGTATAATATTTTATTTATGAATTTCATACATACAAAGTTTTACTAATTGCAACAGAGGAAAAACATGTGACTACTAAACAATATGAATCACCGCGCGGGCGATCCACACCGCTGAAGCTTAAAAATTAGCAACTGTCCATAGACGAATGTCATCTTAAAATGATACACAACTTCTAATCGGCAAGTTTCGTCTCCGGTAGTACCATAGTACCGCGGTACTATATTAGTACCATATTGTGCGAAACGACCGGCGCTAAAACTAGTCCAGCAATGCAGCGAGCGCAACCAATAACCGTAGACGTTTATTTACATTACAAATAAGAGCAACTTGGTCCGCTATCGCAATACAGTATGTCGGCTGGGAGTGATTTAATTCATAACCTTGACTGGACTAGGGCTGTTCCAAATCAGTCCGAATGTCGCCAATTGCGATCGAATGGTATGGATTAATCGCCATTTTCTGATTCTAAGTAAGGCTACTTGGTTTTACGTCATACCTATATGTACCAATGGGTTGGCCTAAGTCATTAGTTTTGCCTTAATGACTTTATCGCTTAATACATTTTGCAATAACACACGTGGTTCTTTTATTAAATCTTATCCTTTAAACGAGCAATTCTTGTATATATAGTCGGAATCTCGGAAACGGCTCCAGCGATTTTCATGAAATTTAGTATGTGCGTAGATTCGGGGGCGAAAAATCGATCTAGCTAGGTTTCATTTTTAGAAAATGTCTTTTTATCCCTGTTTTCAGGGAATGAAAAGTATAATTCGAATATGACGGTAAATTTCGCCGCAAGAGAAAATGTCATAATAGCTCGGTCGGTAATCGGGCGGCCCCAAAACAGACGGGCCGTGGTTCGCGTCACGATCATTTATTTTTTTACTTTTTTTTCGATTCCAGATCATTGCTTTCTTTATTTTTAATTTTTTTGTCGGTTATTTTGTTATTTTTTCCCCTTTTTTTTTAAAGTTCTTTCTTTTGTGAAAAACATCAGTTCTTATTTTCTTATTAGTTACGTCGGTAAGATCGAAAAATATTTTGCATATTTCATTACTCAGTAATTTGTATCTAAATGTAATTTCCAAAATACTCGATTTACCAAAAAATAAACAAAACGAGCAAAGCTCGGTCCTCCGGGTACTAAATATTATAGATTGAGATTATAAACGATCGTGAGGTGAAATTTATAAGTATGTCTCTTTTTGTTTTTGTATGTAAACATCTCTTATTTACTACTTTGACATAAATACATAATCTACACGGTATCTCATTTCACATTACATTTTTATTGAAAGCGCGGACGTGTATATTCAGCGTCTCTACTTCTTTATCTTCAAGACGTTCCTATTTCATTGGTTTAAACTCTGTACAAGCGTCTTATATTTCTGTCGTTTTATTTTATCCTGGTTACATTACACCTGACATTATGTGGCAATATATTCGCGCTAAATGCCTCAGTACGGTAAACCCTTATTCGTTCCTACCTTGAAGAAACCCGCTTCATTTGGACGGAAAGACAGACGACGGCAAATTGATCCAGGCCTTCGTCGTATACATAATTAATGTTCAAGCAGACCGCTCGGTTCGAACCTGTTGAATAAACTTCTTATCGCGAAAGATTCTGTCAAAACTTACCTATACTTATAAATTAAGGTAAGAAATATTTTGTGACATTAACCCTGAAAGCACACTGATCTTATCTATACATAATTGATTTGGTGATGCGAAAACATATATTGATGTATGTTTTTGCATCACATTGCATGTCATTCGATTACAAGGAACCCATTCACCGTTCTTATGACATAATTCTAAGGACAATAAGGTTACATTCATTCAGACGTTGCAATTGTACGGGCATTGTAAGCAAATCTATCAGCAGCCGTGAACAATGTGCCAGTCATATTACAATACATGTATCGTACGTATCTCGCTCGCATCGCGAAAGAGACGTTCGATGCTTAATAAACGGACATACAAATTGTTGTGTTCGATTCCTCCCAATGGTAGGGTAACCATGTTTTAGATTATACTAGCGATCCGCCTCGACTTCGCACGGGTGCGATGTATTTATTATACATATAACTCTTCCCTTTAAATCACTCGTAACTAGTAAAAAAACTGCATCACGATCCGTTGCGTAGCTTTAAAGATCTAAGCATACATAGGGACAAACAGACAACGGGATGACTTTGTTTTATACTATGTAAAGATATGCATAGTTATCTTTTAATGCACGTGTCTTAGTGCAAATCTTGAACTCTGACATATGATCAGAGATCAAACTCAATAGCAAATCAATAATTACTGATGCCAAAGTAATAATGCCATAAACAATATGAAGCAATTAGTAGTGAATCTGAAATATTGAGGAAATGGTCCTGTATAATTAAAAAAATGATCGCACTTTTCTATATTTGTTTTTGCTTACAGTCCTTCATCGGTCATAGAGCATCGAAAAGTATATTATTATACAAAATTTCTATTTTCTGGGAAAAGATGGGAAGCGGATAACAGGCTCTCCATCAATGTTACGTGATTCCCGCCGTCCATGGTGATTCATGACAACCAAGCCAAACAATTCAGCCGAAATTGAAATGAGTTCACCCCTAACAGCACCTCACTTACCAGCCGAAACGCAAAACTATCAAAGCTCCTACTTACCATCTGTCTAATCCATCCGAAGACGACGCTCGAGTCCGGAAAGCTTCCAAATCATACTCATACCTATTTCATTAGAACGACGCTAGCATGCGCCTCGGATCCGATCTATTATCTAATCTATGCACAATTTGTGTCACAAGTCGGCAGAGACAGTGCGCGTGCGCTCTTATTGTTTATATTTTTTTCTTATGTTTTATCGTCGTATAATCGTAAGCTATTAAGTGTTAACTTATTATATATAAGAAAATAATTTCTAAATAACGAAGGATTACTTATATGGTAAGTTCATCTTTGCTCGCTCTCGAAAAAAGTTATGTTCGGCTATTCAATATTGATACTGATGTTTAAAGATATGCTGATGTTTAAGAACGTTTGAGGCACATTAAATTATTACTAGTGGTTGCCCAGTGGTTGAAATTCATAATTAATTAGACACGGTAGTGTGTGTAATGTTTTTTTTATTGATTTAATTTGCAACACCAATAGGGTTGCAGATAAATTGCTACCTTTTAATAAAATGGGCGCCGGCTACCTCACGCACCAGACGAAACGCAGAAATGTACTTCCACTTTACGCCGGTTTTCTGTAAGAATCCCCCGGACGGACCTGCCCATTCATGGTTCAATGATTTAGTGTCTTCACTGTTGCGTGGCCCTACTATATTTAAAGTTATATATAGGCGTTTAAATATTAGGTACACAGAATGTTAATTCGTCATTTGAGAGACGTTATGTTTATAATCAAACAACGGGATTATTTCAACCTACTTGACTGCGTTATTTAAATCGAAAACCTGACTTTAATATATTTTAAGTTAAACTGTCAAATATCGCTTTGTAATGTATTCGTTCAGGACTCCGTTATAAATCTTTTGCATTTTACACCTCCCGTGATTAAAAATTATACGACAGGTATAACAATGAATCTAACTATACTGTATACTCATTCTTATTTAAGAGTAAAATGTAAATAAAAATTACAAAAGTATAACGCATAAATTTGGACCCACGGTTAAACACGGACCTTATAGGTTTAAGACACAGTAAGTGTAAAAAACAAAATCATTCACTTCACATGTCGGAACAAATTATTTAGTCCTTAAATATGCATATTTTTTAAATGAGTCTTGCAACAGTGAGATCACCGACCAGTTTTTAATCATTTCATTGAGCAACACATGAGATTTTATAAAAAACGGTTTCTAAAAATTCCTTCACACATTCGTTGTACTAAAGAGAATTCTTACAGAAAACAACGCAGTTGCGTTTTAAAAAATAAGGATTTTTTAATCAAGTATCAAGATTTTCAAAACGTTTTGTCATCGTAGCATATCTTGATGTGTACTCACAATGAATATTTACTTTTATAATCTTGGTTCAATTAAGCTACATTCGCGCGACTCGAAAACATTATCTTATAATCTTTATTTTCTATCAAAGAGTCAATGAATACGTTACAAGTAGTACGTTAGAAATTGGATACACGTAACCTTTATTATAGCAAAATGTCAAAACTTACCGCACAGTGCCGTCTCCGAGTCGACCTCGAATTCTGGCATTTTGCCACTTTGAGGAGTTTCGAAAATCACTCGTTGAAATTAATTTTAATTACACCATTGAATGGCGGATAATTTGGCACAATATTTTTTTATAAGGTTGAAATAATGCAGATCGCATGTCTATATACATAACAGAATATTTAATAAGAATTCGAAGGCCAGCTGATAGTGTATAATAAGATATATTCAAAGGTAAAAAACCGGGGATATGTTTTAATGTATATTACAATGGTAACAGACTATGTGGATATGACTCGAAACTCAAGTATTACCTGCATATTAAAACGCAGTATACAACTTCTGCGAAATTAACAATCCTCTAAATTACGAACTTAGGAACCAAGTAAGCATGAATACAATGATTCACAAATAAAGGAATTAATAAATTCACCTTTATTTTATTCAGAAAACGGAAACTTCACATATCTTCAATATTCTTTGGTACATGTTTTTATCTATCAGAAGTACTCTGGTACGCAAATAAAAATCGCCGTCTACATTGCTTTTTGTATGGAACGTGTGGTTTGATAAATAGACACAAAAAATTAAATTCCAGTACAACTCGTATGGAGCTTTTGTTTGTGTGTGTATGTGATAATTAGGGAGGTCACGTCTTCATAGGTCATGTGCTTAATATGCCGATGGATATTAACGTGTTAATTGTTAAAATATTTCTCTTGTCCTCTTGTCGCTAACACAATGTTATTGTATCGAACTAGTTTTTATGATAATTATTTTTCTTTTATGTGAAAAGTTGCCAAGCGAGCAGGCGGTTCACCTTATGTTAAGTGAATACCGCCGCCCATGGACATCTGCTACACCCGAGACACACTCACCGGACTAAACGCGAAAGTATTTATTATACTTCCACTTTACGCCGGTCTTCTGTGAGGTTACTTACCCGGACGAGTCTGGCCAATCGTGCAACAGCCGAGGCTGCTGCGTGGCCCTACCACAGTTGTATGTGTTATTATTATTATCTACTTACAAACATTTTGAGACCTGGCTAGCGCATTTCACATGGCCTGCTTGACCGAAAACAATCTAGCATGATTACAAAAGAAATATACACAGAAAAAGCATACATAGTGACACGTATTACATTCGGTACAAAGACATATTGCAGGCGCATCATCCTATTCTTCGAGGTTGCCCTGTATTATATTATATAAAATAAATGCATCCAAATGAATTGATCCAATTGTTATAAGTAAAAACACAAGCCACGATTCCAATCATTTTCAGTTTTGTGTTAATAAATTTAAAAGGTTTTATAAGTTTTGGTTAAATACATCGTCATGGGCTTAAGCCTTTCCCACGAGGCATCATGTCCGATATCCAATTATCCGGTTTCAGCAACACCTCTACAGTTGAACCTCACACCTGTATGTCGAGTTTCCTTAATGGTTTTCTAACCTTTAACGGTAGCTTGAACGCGTTGCTTATGCTACAAATCGAACGGTGTTCCACTCGTTTACTGTGGAATCGGAAAGGAGGGTAACGTTCGCCTCGAACGGCTCTATGGTAGAGAATGCGCGGTTAGAGTGGCTTTGGAAAACGAACAGGCTTTTTTTTTTTTAATTTTATTGTGCTAATCTACTGATTTCAACGAAGAGTTTTTTTCTTTATTCTTTTTCTTTTAGTTTTCCGAACCTCACGAACTGACGGCCAGTTTTATTTCAATGCTTTTAAAGCTTATGGTGACCTAGTGTATTATTACCAGTCACTCCTAGTAACTTACCTTAATTTGAGATGTTAAGTACGATAATATGGAAAAAAAATTGTATCTATTTTCGAAAGGTTCTGCGTTTCAATAACTAAATTAGCGTCGCATTGGCTTCTTCCGAAGAAGGTCGCAAATTATCGATTGCGAGGGTTCCGCGAATTATATTTCACAACAATGGCTCACGTGGAATATTTCGCGCGCGCCTGTGTGTATTAATACCGCTTGCATGGAGGTATCGTCTACAGGCGGTGACGTCATCGAAGCAGAATTTAGCGGATAGCTTCGAACCCGTAATTTCGCGTTGTTTATATATTTCTCTTCAATCCATAGAATCGCTGTCGATGTAGAGTCGGCAATTTTATTTGAACTGTGACCTCTTATTAAGTACGTACAATAATTCTCTTCGCCACATGTCACGATGTACACCATATATCATGAGGATTTTCGTTGAAAACAGTGGTCTTAACTTTCATGATATGTTTTTTCCGTTTACGTTTAAATTCTTCTGTTATTTATGTATGATATTTCGTTTATAAAATAATTTTCTCATTAATTTCATTCAAAATTATCTTAACTTTCACGTAAACATTTATATTACGTACAGGCGGAACTAATAAAACATTTATTAAAAAAACAGGACTTTTCATTACGTAAGTTACGTCAGCACCGATTAATATGGGTTTGGGGAGCTCTGTGAGACGCGGTGCTCTGTAGGAGTGTTTTTTGCATGCAAACGCACGTGAGCCGGCGCGTCAACGATATAGCGGGCGAGCAGTCGCCGCGCGGCCTCCCGACGCTTATCACGGTCCAAGCCACACCGTTACACATTCGACGATTCGATACACGAACAATACAATACGCCAGAGAGCCCCCGACAATTCAACCAGACGATCGCTGTGCCCAGTGCGTGCTAATTGTGTGCTAAACTCGCCGAACGCAATGGTTGCCCGATGATGTAAAAGTCGACCCCAACCGCTTTGTTCGCACAGTGAGAAGAAAGAGAGTCGACGCTCCGGAAACCGAGAGTGTTCCATTGACCGTTCCCGCCACTAGGTGAGCATTCCCCCTTTGCCATGTTTGTCGTGTGTTTTTTTTTTCTTATAAGTTCACTTTAACTCCACAATGCCCGTTACTATAGGTATGTGGCGTTATGCCAGAAAATATATGTACTTTTAAAACGCGGTCGGGAATTTTATCTTTACCACAGTTTTCGCAGGCAGTGCTTACGAAATTATTCGAGTTTATTTTCATACATATCTTTTCGATAGCATTATAAAAGCAAAAGGTACGTTTTATACTTTTGTAAACATTGACATTTCGCTAGTAAATTTTTGAAGGTCTATATTTAATCGACCTTTAGCCGGCGTCTGCCACGCGATATAAATAGCGTTTCCACCAAAACAAAGGTTTGAAATTCGCTCGATTCAAACATAAGAGGTTTTGAATGTTTATATACCGATCGGCGTAAATAATAATTTATTTACCATCCCTAAAAGGATCCTTACATCTGTTGTCAAACTAAATCACATAAATATACATAATCAAACCGTTTATGCATACCGATGTTATTGTACTTTACATTAATAATACGTGTTTTGCCTCAAACGACTGTGACACATCGGGCCTCTATTGTGTTATTCTCAAAAGGCATCGTAAGAGTCGTGTTTTGACGTAGGGGCCTCGATCGTATGGTATGACCTTCGCTTCAGAAGTACTTGTATTGGCGTAATTTGACGTACTGCAAGGGTTTTTTGGTACGATTTTGGCGCGAAGAAATCGCAATATTGTAAGCGTGATGTTTGGCGTGGAAGCATTTTATCCGGTGTTACTTGTGGAACGTTCGTGGGTTGTCCGATCAGGTTTGACGAGAGATACACCAACGTTTCGACGTTGCCGTGGAGTTGTTTGTCGGTCTATTTGACATCGTATTTACGTATGTTAAACATATTTTGAATATATTTGAGACTTTTGTAAAATACGACAAAACTAAAGGATAAACAGCATTTAATGGACTTAGTTAAAACAAAACTATTGTTTATTTTACTCAAAGAACGTTGTACAATCGTAAACGAAGTAAAGTCACAATATTTCTCGACATATTGACATCTGCGGTAACAATATTAGTAAGTCTACCTATTTATATTTACTACCTATGTATAGTTGTTTTCCTTAAATGCGCTGTTTATTAGGGATACTTTATAGGAGCTCAAAAAAAAAGATGCTATATATGAGTCGTTATAATACGCCGATGATGTAATTACAGCTTGACCTCAGGGCTCGTATGTGTGCGTGTACTTTATCTTGTTCGATACGAACCTGTTTTGATACTCCGTAGGCCGCTTTTAAAACGTACAGCAACTCTAAATCTGTTGTACTCGGACCAGAATAGATCGCGAGTCTCAATGTCGAAGAGATATCGATACAGATGCATAGAAACTTTCTCTTAAAAGAAACCGAATGTAATATTGAACACATGTAGCCTTCGTCAAGTTGAAATAAACGGAATCGCGAGCGTAGAACTAGTCTCTTTCTAAAAAGTGGTCTTCTGTATCGGTATTCCTAATCTTTTCTCGAAAATTATAATCACATCAAGAAATATTAATATATAATAATATTATAATAATCGTTTAAACTAAACTAAATGTTACGCTATGTGATAAATTACGTTTGTGGTTGTGGATCGCTGGTGGATTAATGCCCCCGATATAAATTATTCTTATATTGTCGATTATTAAAATAAGCAAGAACGAGAAATCCGCATCAAACGTTTATAAACTGCACAGTACTTAAAGAATTTGTTATTTTAGTATTTCATTTTTTTACACATTTCATTATTAAAATTTCTTAGTTTGTTTTACTGCAAATATTTTATTATTTGTTACAATCACGTGCGGTAACTACGTATAATTTAATCCTAATTAGAATTGTTAATTGTTATTTAGAAAAGAGGTCCCATATTGTTTTCGCATATTTCCGTAGATTTTGTTTACGTTTATAAGGAAAAAAAAATAGATTTTCAATTAGGGAGTTTTAAATTGCTTGATTTAAAGAAATAAATAATAATTATATAATGAAATCTTTTTCAATTGCAACAAAAAGGTTCGTTGGTCTATAAAAAAATAAGGTACGTTCTATAATTCCCTGAACATGCTGTAGAGACTTATCTTAACACATAACCTCAGATATTCAGCTATTTAAAATTAATAAAACCACGTTTTAATAATTATTACTATTGTAACATGCTTTATTGCACATTTATACATATTTTCATTAG